GTTAGTGACTAACATGAATTTATTTGGAGATTTTGTATGTAACTGTTACCCTCCCTTTGCCTAACACATTGAGTAGTAGTGTACTAAGTTCCTTACAGTTGTGTCTTTAATTTGAAACCTCATAAAACACAGGCTGGTTTTTTAATGGGTTTATTTTAATATGTCTGTTATCTGTCTATCATCACTTAAACTTGATTCACTTAAATTTTATTTAGTGTTTCTGGGGTCCACTTACTAATTTTGGTTAGACTAATAATTTTCCTTCATTTTGAGTAACTGAAATAACTACAGATCTTCTGCCATGATAGTTGTCCCAGTTTCTGAATTATTAACAAGTGTACTATAATACAGAATCAAATACATCCTTTTCAGCATTTTGCAGTTAACTCTTTGCTATTAATGATATTTATTATCATGAAATCAAATAATTTAATTCAATATTTTCCCTGGTTAGATTTTGATCAGATTTTGATCTATGACTGACTGTGTCCTTATTTTTGTTTGCCTGCTTCAGGAGGCATTTTTCTCTTACTTTGGTCTTTGAAAGAACTTATTTTCTGTTATCTGGAGCAAGAACTGGATCATCACTAGTAGCAGTTGTTCTATTCTATTTTCTTTTTTACATGGTGCCTGGGATGACTTTTGATTATTGTTTATGCAGCCCATTCCAATGTCAAATCGCCCTTTATATTAATAAGTTCTTCCTGATATCCTAATTCTTCCTAATATTCTTATTCTCCCTTCTCTGCTTTTTTAGCTATGTTGATTTGAGGATTTGTCCATGATTCACAGTGGGGAGAAAAAAGCTGGTGCCAGCCATGAATGCATTCCAGGTCTTTTCTATAGGATTGAGGAGTTTAGTAAATAGCAGGGTTGAAGTTAGTGCAAAGAGCTGTGCATCCACCAGGCATATCTGGGTAAGCTGTGATAATTGCATGATCAAGATCTGTATAATGAAATACTGTATAGCATTGTAAGACTTTTTTTGTATAATTGGAAAATAATTCCTATGATGCTTTGCATCACGCAGACATGTGCTGGAAAGGATATCTGCAATTTTAAATTTTAGCAGTGTAAATATAATAGAGATGAAAGTAGAAAATGTACACAGAGGAAAAGGGAAATGCAAGTAGTCAGGGAACATTCATACTTTAGGGATCCAACTCCTGTAACTAAATCAAAAGACTGATTTCCTTAGGCCATTTCCACAGAGTATCAGAGACTCCTTCACAGGACATTTTGTAGCATTTCAGGAGTTCCTTCAACCAAATCTCTCTCAAGGAGCCTCTTTCTGTTTACTCTAGCATAGGATCTGTCTCCTACATCCCACTCTTTCTTACTTTTGACATTTAAAAACAGGTGATGTGTATATAACTACTTATCACACATTTTGCTCATAGGGGCTGTAGGGGCATGTTAGTAAGCTGAATTTCAGAGAAAGCTTTGAACAACAGTAATGCAGTATGTTTTCAGATATTTAAGGGCAATTCCATAAAGTGTAAGGTATAAGAGAGAAAAAGGCACAAAAGGTTTGTTTGAAAATACACCATGTGGGTGTGAGGAGCTGGAAACTGGACTTCTGACGCTGAATGGCAGGTGGGAGACAGGAAGGGAAGAGATACAAGAAGCATCCCTAATTTTTATTTTTTTTTTAATTGGTAAGAAGTGGAGGGTTTTTAAATGTTTTATCCAAAAACAACATAACAATCAAATTAGACAGTATGATCTAATGGTCTTTTGAGCTTTATGTTTCATGAAAATTGGCCTGGTTTCAAACATGAGCAAAACACAGCTGTCTTCCTGATGAAGATTAAGGAGCAATAGGTGTGGTGGTGATCAGCAAGGATGGACCTTGCAAGTGAAGACAAGTGGTAGATGCTGCAGAAGTAGCCGGGGAGAGCTGTGGAGATAGTGATGTGTTCTCCAAGTGATTGACTAGGAAAAGCATCTTTGCAGCAGTTCTCTGAGTGAATGTGTGTGATATGGGGCTGTGTTTGTCAAAAGCAGAGAGAAAAAATGTTGCTGAATCAAAAAGCAGAGAGCAAAATCTTACTGAATCAAAATATGATGATGATGATTAACCCGATTGAATACTTTAGCTGATTGGGAGGATTAAGAAAAATACTGTCTTGGAAATGTGGCATTGAAAGTATCTGCAAATTATGAATATGAATCTCGGGATTTGGAATATCTTTAGGATGTAAGGTGATGCTAGAGTTACATGTCTGAGCAATAGGCAGGATGATGGTGTAGCTGTACAGCTTTGTGTGTGTCACCAACAGTTAAGTCATTCATAGGAAAAACTGTAAAATCTGTCCTCAAATATAATTGTATTATTTATTTTTTGATGTTCTTCACTCCTACACCTGCTTCCCACATAATATTTCTTAGAATATTTCCCCACCTGCCACAAAGGACTGGACATTAATTGTTGAGTTTGATTTGTAATGCCACAGTGGGGTGCCTAGTATGAAAAGATGTATTTTTCATTTGCTGGGAAGGCACTGCTCTTTTCATTTGGTTTATAGTAATGGTGAACACAGATGCAGTAATTTCCTTAAAATTAAATTATGAAGTCAAGTCTTCTAATAACAATACTCCATAGTATTTCAGTAATAATTAATCGATTCAGTTCCTTATTCTGATTCTTCCTGATGATGCAAGAATTCCCCCCAGGAAGAGGAAGCTTTTCATTTGCTTGAGAATTTTATAGCCAGGTCCCATACCAGCCACAGTCATTTTTTCCTTCCCCCTTCAGCATGTACCAGAACTCATAGGCTGAGAAAGGACAGAGAAAATACATCTACTCTTAGCTAACTTTCCAGTGGTATGTAGCTGTATGGACATGGTAGCAAACAAGTGTGAGTTAGAATTGTTTCTAGGCTTTTCTGACTTAAACCAGAGATGAGGCAACTTTAGTATCAAGGAGGCATAACCTGAAGAAAAAAATCCAAACAGCTTTTTAATTGTTTCTTGTTTTTTAATTAATTTCTGCCCGGTGTGGAAATTTAAACTGTTAATGTGTGTTTGCAAGAGCAATAAGAAAGGTTGTCTTAGGTTTTGAGTAGTTAGGTGTCCAGATTAAAAAGATAAATATTTAAGGAAAAGAAATTAAAACCTGTCTTTCTTTGGAAATATAACTCTGGCAAGGAGTTTGATATTAATGGCCCATCAATAGTTTCAGCTTGTTCAGAGAAAGAGCAGTGATATCCAGGAAAGGCAGTAGATTACTCTCTGCTAGCTAAAAATTTGTGAAATCATAAATTCAGTGAGCAAACATACTCCATGGGCACACTGGGTCCTGGGACTGGGACCTCTGCCTGCATAAGGCTGAGTCCGGCCAGCTGCATCTTCCCCCCAAGTCCCTGTGTGCCTACAGTGTGACTCCAAGTTTGAGGCTGTAACTCTCTGGAGATAAAACAACCAAAATCTTACACTTTACTTGAAGTCCAGTGTTGTAGATTCTTTACTATGTGCCAGTTTCAGACATGCATATGGGACATAACTGGGAATTCAATATTAAAATGGGAGTAAAAGTTTTGTTATCTGTCCTGAGCTAACACCAATTCTAAAAAGACAAACACATTTATTTTCTTCACAGATTTTGGAAATCTCATCTGCTTTACATATCTGTGAGTTTACTTATATATAAGTGGTCTAAGTCAGTGTGTCATCTTGGCAAAAAGGGCTTCTTAATGTCCATGTGCATGGAAAGCATTGTATATACTACTATTTTTTCCTATCTAGAAATATTAGCTGTTTGTGTCTTTATCTCTCCATGAGTGCTATAGGCAAATCAATGTCTCAGTGAATTTAAGATATTCATGTCCTCGTGCATCTGCAGTTAATTTTTAAATTTACTAATTTTTTTATGTCAAGGATCTGCTGCATCTTAAGCCATCCTGTAGGAGATAGAAAAGTAATCAGAGATTGTTGGATGTCTTGAACATTTTTTTGGCTAGAAGGTGTATTTAAATTGATTTGTCAGGTTACATGCTGATCTCTGAAGGTGTAACTCTGCTCTAGTAATAGGAAGTACGGTATCATACTCCTGGACAATTCATTCTGTTTTGGTCTGGCTGTCTCAAAGAGGTCATGCTAGTGAAGGTCCAAGGTGCAGTGATGACATTTACAGGCATGGTGAATTGGCCATTACGCCCTCCCAAGCTGAGAGATAGCCTTAGCTAGAGAGGCAGCATGGACCCTTCCTGGGGTGGGTGGTAAGTGCTGGTGTGGAAGTTTGGATGACTCAGCTCCCCATGGTGTAGCCTGTGATTCCATGTGCTTGTGCCACCATAAATCTGATATTCCTGCTGTGTCTTCACTGCTTCTGTCACACACGCCTGTTATGTTAAAGCCTGTATTCCAGTGGGCAAACCTCATTATGGGGAAGGGTTTTTTTTGCTAGTCTCTTTTCTCATTAGCAGTTGTATGATACTACGTGCATGCTACTGTGGGGTTGTACTGAAACCTTGTGGAGACACACTGCCAAGCTAGAACTTCTCACAACCTTCAGATAGTCATAGCAATGACAGTTCTTATATAAATATTGTTTACTTTCTGTCAGTTTTTAAAATACGGGCAAATTATCTCATTTTAGCTTTGGCCATCATGTTATTAAGAGGCTGAAAATCTACATGAAGAGCTGATGAAGATAAATACATTTATTGATTTTAGACCACTCTCTTTTATTAAAAATAATAAACCAAATTACATATAACAAGGAAAAAGCAGCAGCACACAGGAGGTGAGCAAACACACTGCAGGTACTTATGTTTGCCTGAAGGGGAATGTGCTGTGATCAATTAATGCTCTATAAATCTCTTGGTGTAAGATATCACTGTTGCTTTTGCTGTAGCTGCAGCATTTTAAGGTAAAAATAGAGATCTTGTCATGGTCTAGGCACTCAGATTATTTCACTCTGATTAGTTTGGTGTCTCTTTAATTAGAGCTGTGTGCTCTGTTACCCGATTTCATTCTTTTTCTCTTTACATATTTAGGTCCTAGTCCTGCAACTGGATTTATTCAAATGGACCTCGATAGCCTGGGGGCCTGATGAAGCTCATGGGACTCTGGTGACTGCAGGTTCTCACTCTGAAGATCTGATTGTAGGCCTGAACCTAAATTTCTATTTCGTTCTCCTGTCTATTTGCTTCTTAAGTGATGAAAATTATCCTTTAAAATGGTGTTGTCTTTGAATCTCATGTACATCCACTTTAGTAGTGTTCCAACACTGTGTGCCTGGGATGTTGTCAGACGTTAAATTATTTCTGTTCTGTTGAGTGTCTAAACCTCATGATTTCTCTGATTATTGTGTTAGATTTTTCTGTTTAGTGTCTTTCTACCTAAAATGGAGGAGATCATCACCTGTGTTTTCAATCGTTGTGGTATTTCTCTTAACTCAGATTTTTAAGTCAGAGTAATTGTTGAAAGTGTTCTGGTTATTTTTAAAGATATAGGCAGATTTGTTTATTTCTTGCTGGACACAAAGTATAATATTTTATTTTGCAAACTTGGTAGCCTAGTATTACTGAAAGCTTTCAATATGATGATACTCTGATGTAATAAAATAAGTAGGAAAAGACCCTTTTACTAGCTCTCCTGTTGCTTTTCTATTCCTGTGGCTGTGGTTACACAACATCAGAGTGTTGTGTAAAAAAAAAGTGAAGATATTTTTATTTTTTGTGAGTCAGTATATACCTTTTGTTGACAATAAGCGCCGCTCCCTCTCCTATTCCATGTTGCAATTTCACTGAATAATAAAGTTATAGCCCTGGTAGAACCTATAGAAAGGACTTTGAAAATCACATGTAGAGGGTGATCACAAATAGAGTGTAAAAGGAAAAATAGATGTGTTCTGTCTTTATACATGTTGGTATATAAGTTGTATATATTTTTAAAGCAAGTATGTAGCAGTGTATGATAATTCGTATATTAAAAGAGCCAAAACTTACTTTCTATATAGAGAATCAGAAAAACTTGTTTGGTTTTTGTAGGCTTGTTACAATGATATTAAGGAGCTTCACAGTATTTGATGATTTTTTGTGTATTCCCAGAACAGAAAAGCACCATTGTCCTGTTAAATCAAGGAGAAAACTGAGCTACTTGTTTAGTGAGTAGTAAAGTCAATGATATTAAATGGATTCTCCTGCCTTTTAACCTTGTGCCTCCAGCTCCTTTTTCCCCTCAAGACCCAAACATTCCATTACCATCATCTGCTTTGCATTTCTACGTGAAAGGCCCAAGGTGTTTCTGTTTGGACTCCCAGAAAATGAGGAAGACAAGGTTGGTTGGCCATCTGCCAGGGTGCAAGGTCTGACTCGCTCCTTGCTCACAGGGGCTGCTGGTGAAGGCAGAGTCAGAACTGAGTGTTCTGTGTGGCATTCAACTGCCTTAACCACATGCCCATCGCTCTCTTCCTGAGCTGTCTGTCTTGTTCTCAGCATAACTCCTAAAGACAACACGTATAACAACCAATAAATAATCTAATTTGATGCACAGCCCTGATTCACTTCCTGAGCCGTGTCCTGCTCACACGGGGCAGCCACAGTCCCATGGAAAAATTCATCATGGTGCATGAGGCCAAAGAGTAAGGCTGTTAAGTGTCTTTAAACTTTGCAATGAAGCAGTGTTCTTTTAACGTCACTTATTATAGTCATAGCTCAACGTATTTTTAACAAGGCACAAGAGAAAAATGGAAGCTTTTAGAACTGGTTGTAACCAATTTCCTGTCTAGCCTGTGAATGTGAATGTCCAGCTCAGTGAAACACAGACACACAGACCATCAGCCAATGGGAGGAGGCTGGCCACTTCCAGGGAGGAAGGGAAGGAAGAAGGATGGGTGCTTAACACCATGGGTATATCCAATTTGCTTCCAAGTCTCAGGGACTATTTGTGGAGTGTTGACCCCAGCTTTTTAGCTTTTGCTTTCTCTTCAGCATTCCCACACCCAAAAATTAGCTCCTCCAGAGCTTCTCAGTACAATAGATATTGGGGGTGTTTCTGTAGTCTGCTAATAATTTAAATGAAGAAGCAGAAATCAAAGGTGGGCTTTTCTGCTGCATTTTCCTGTTGAAAAATAAGAGGAGATGCTCCCAGTTCTCTCCACAATGAATTTCAGGGGCTATCCTTCTGATCCTTGATCTCACAAAGAGATGGCAAAAACTTTAATAGAAAATTCTGTTCTTGGCTTACCCCTTTATCTTCTTCCTGGTCAAATTGTAGTGACCTACTGTGTTTGTAAGCTACCAAGGATGATGTGTAGGCTCCAGTGTCAGAGCAATTGTGTTGGGAACACAAGCTCATCTTGTTATCTTTTATGTTAGAATTTGGTAGCACAATAAGTTTTTTTCAGAGAAACCTTGCCAGACCATGGTCTGAGTTTCAGTTTTTGTTAATATCTGCTTTATCTATGGATGGTGTTTGAGATTTGGTCACCAAGCCTAATGATTTGCTATGAGGAAAACAAAATCTCATACTTTGCTTTTGCATGTTTTTCTCTGAGATATGCAGTCATTTATCCCAAGTACTGCAGCAAGTTCCTGTAAAAAGACCAGGTGGGAATACTGTTAGGGAAAATTTGTTCAACCCATTCACTGAAATTCATAAAAATCAAAATACTTGCAAAAATAATTCACTGGTCTTTTGTTGCAAAATAAAAATGAAAAACCTGATTTTAGTACTTTTTTTTTTTTTTTAATAAGGAGCAATCTTCAACATTTCATAGCTGTAGAGAAATGGTGGGAATTGAACAAAACAGTCTTGATATACAGAATCACCTTAAGTCTGTATCTCAACTCAACACTTTATATCATGAAACCATGCCCTGAAACTGCTGCCTGTCATATCAGATAATATTATCACCGATTTACTCTGTTACTTCATCTTACCAGCTTTTTGTAACCTTTTGGTAGGATCACAATTTTTTTTCTGTATTTTGGGTGTCTTCTTTTGGTTTGGGGTTTTTTTACCAGCACGTAACAGAGCCCCGATCCATGACTTGGCTTCCAGGTACTAGGATAATACAAGTAGTAATCATGCCTGCTGCTAAAAATTTTCTACATTATTTCATTTGTATTTGTTTGCCTTCAACTTCTAGTTATTGATTCTTGTTATGCCTTCTCTGATGGATTAAATAACTCTTTAGGCCTCACTATTTTCTCCCCAGGAAGGTGCTTTTACCCTGTAATCATGTTATTTCTCACTATTACTTTTGTTGTTGTCTGTTTGTTTTAAGAAAAAAGCCAAACAGGTTGTGCTCTTTAGGGTTCTCATTATTTTTTCACATTCCTGGATGATTATTGTGGATCTTTTCTATCTATAAAACTGTGTGTTAGTAGTCACATACACAGAAGTAAAATTACTTCTCTAGTTCCTCTTGTGTTAGTATGATTAGAAATTGATGTTATTGCAAGGTCAGATTAAAAAAAAAACCCTACCTAATATGACTTCTACACACCTGAGTGTAGTTATTAGAGGACAGAAAATGATGAGGGATTTAAAAAATATTTAAATATTTTTAAGTGATCCACTTATCAGCAAGAGTGGGTGTGCAGGAGGGATGCCAAAAGTATTTCTTTTGAGGTTTTTAAGGAGCTAGAAGTGAAAATAAAAATAATAATTTTAATTGTAAAGCAACAGTAATACATCAAAACTTAAGTGCTCTGTTTAGCATAGTAATACATAGTTGCAGAAATTTTTGTAGGACTGAATGGAAAGTGTTTGTTATTAACACACTGTTTTGGGTCACTAGAAATAGAGACTGCAAGTGGATGTGAATATACATATCCCTTACATCCATTTAATCCTATAAGTAGCCACTTGCTTATATTTGGAAACCCAAGAACAGGTATGTGATCTGCTATGCTGAAATAGAAGAAATAACATAGTATTAAGAATTCCTTTTTTATAAAGATTGTCACTATTAAGTAATATAAAAGTTCAAACAATCAATATCCAGAGCTTCAAAGAGGCTCTTGAAAGTTTTACGGCTTCAATATTTCTTTCCAAAGGGGTGGCTATTTATTTTGATTTGCATCCATACTTTAGGACAAGGTTAAGTTAAATTTACATGAACAAGACTAATCAGATGCCTGTCTAGTCAAAACATATCCGCCTACTCCATGACTTTTCATGCATATCATGCATATAAGCATCTGAATTGTATCTGCACTCCCAGCCCCACACTTATCCCTCCTGGAAACCATCAGATTTTCATTAAATTCAACTTTAGACTGTTTAAACTCTCAGTGCTGCACATTAGTTTGATGCAAGTTTGTCTAATGTTGTGTCTGACAAAACTTTGAGGCCACCACATTGACTTTCTGTCCAAACTGACTTGAGTTTTGACTTTAAAAAGAATGTGTCTTTCCCTTGCGGCAGCATTCCCTCTGTGAAATTTGGGGCATATTCCACAAGGGTCTTTGTTTCAGCAAAATGAAAGTTCATGGAAACATGGTAAATGAGGAAGAAATGAGGTTTAAAATAATGCAAAATACTTAGAATCCTCTAAAACTCATGGCAAAGAATTAAAGGCAAACAAGAACTGAATAGAAAGCCAAATGGCCTCTAATTAAGACAGTACTAAGCTAAACAGATTTAGACTATACATTTGTGTGTTAATGGAAAAGTTATTACTAAGATTTTGGTAACACTGGGTGATTTGGGGTAGAAGCTGTCACTCTGCAATGATGAGCTCACAGAGCCCTTTTCAGAGCAACCATTTGCTGTTGGAAAAGGCAAGAGAAGTGGGAAGTCTCTTGGACGCTTTTTGGTATCACAGGCTTAGTCAGTGTAAAGAATGTGATTTCTTACGTCCTAGGTTGCCTCAGTTTCTTCTGCTGAGTCTCAGATATCTTGGAATAGAACCATTAAATAGAAGGAGATGACATTACTGGGAAAGACAATCGTAGAAGAAACAGGATGATTATTATAGAAGCTGGAAACAGTCTCCATGAGAATACTAGCATGACGTCTTTTCTCTGAACAGCCAGTTAACAGGTGATCCTCTTTTCTGAACCAGTAATAAATTGCTATGGCTGCATGTAATGGTGGGTTTTTGACCAATGCAGCACCCAGTGCAGTACTTACTGGAAAACTGTTTTGGAAGTGGGGGGAGAGGAGTCTGTATAGAAAATTACTTTCCCATTAAATAATGCTACTGATGACTACTTGGTGAGCAGATACAGCTGCCAGAATGTATTTTTCAGCTTATCTTTGCACAGGAGTGTGGACGAAAGATGACAGAAAGGAGAGAGATGGAGAAAGGATAAGAATTTTTTGAGGCTGCTTCTGCTCTTCCAGGATATGTTCTTTGCCCTCCCTAGTGAGTGATATATGCTGATAACTTGTAGTACTTGTAATCATCCTTGAGCATCATATCTCCATGGGATGTTAGCAGGTTTATGAAGTTTCTGAGTATGTGGACAACTCCTCCAGTGAATGAGAAACACTCCATTGCATTGTAAGGGATGAGACAGACACTACACAGTGACACCCATGTACACTTGGCTATATTCAGCAAAAGGGTAAGACTGTCCTGTCAACCTATGTAAGTTCCCCTTTTGAAGCTGTGAGCAAATGGTTGTTTCCTCCAGCAGTTCCTGTAACGGCTTGTATGCAGTCAACATTCACAGTAGCTCCAGAGTAGTTACTAGATAGACTGACGTGTGCTGCATCCTGTTTCTTTGGAATCAGCATCCCATAAATTCACATTATTTTCTTGGTTTGTGGAAATAAGACTGTGCTAGGATTTCTAATATCAGGGACTGTGTTGGCATTAAGGTGTCATCTTCATATCCAGAAGCAGATGGCTTAGTCTGTGTTGCAGTCCTGTATAAAGGATCAGAGTACAGATCAGGTGGTGTTTATATATTGTGTATTTTCAGAAAACATGTAGATAAGGAAACAGTAGCTCTGTCCCAGTACTATACATAGCTCTAGGAGTCTTTCCAGTTTGACATAGAGCACTGAGATGTATCTAAAGGAGTCCTGGCTGTGAGAGAGCATGTCCTGTTGAATCTTCTGGGCTGGATAAAATAGTAAGGAGGGGCATCTCAGGTATTTTTCATCACTTAGGCTTGGTTGGATTCTGTCTGTTCAGGTGTAGAAGTCAAACAGTGGTGTCAATATCAGAAGCTTCCCTGCCTCTAGACTGGAGT